GCCGCTGCCCTCTTTTTTTTTTTTTTTTTTTTTTTACGCTTAAGAGCGCGAGTCGCCGCCCTTCCAACGTGAAAGCGTCGGTTTTAAAATAATTCAACGGTATCATTTTAAAATTCATCATTTATTTGCGGGTTTGATGTGTTCGTAAAAGTATTTTAAGATGGTGTCATCGATGACGCCTGATTCGGCGATGTCACTTCCTGTTTAGCCTCTTCCGGTTTGATGGGGGACGTACGGCGACCTGCTTTTTTTTTTTTTTTTTTTACGCTTAAGAGCGCGAGTCGCCGCCCTTCCAACGTGAAAGCGTCGGTTTTAAAATAATTCAACGGTATCATTTTAAAAAAAACGCTATAAAAGCATCGACGGTGTTTTGATCAAATGTACACATTTGCATGTGTCGGTGGTGTGACAGATGTGGACTGTAGTTGAATGGAACGATTAAATGACGCCCTCTGCCGGCTACTTGCTCTCATTACCGTTGAATGTTTTCGGATTAAAACATCAACTCTTTTATTTTTTTTTTAAATGGAGCTAGTTTAGAATATAATGTTGTCACGCGCAGCAAAGTGTAAGTTAAATGCGTGAGCGGATGGTTTGAGCAGTGGAAAAAAAAAAAAACAATCGTCACCCACTGTCACGTGTTTTTGTTTGCGTTTGAAATCAAGATGGAGTCGAAGGCGACGCCGTTGCCATGACAGCCGTCGCCCTTTTCCGGGCGACTACACGGTTGAAGTCGATCAAGAGTTGCGCTTGCTGCTGCTGCTGCCGCCGCGTCGTCGCCGGCCCGGTTACGCGTCTTTCTTCTTCACGTTCCGCGATGGTGAGGCCGGCCGCGTTTGTTCGCTGAGCTCACGAGTTAGTTTGGGAATTAGCGCTCGTGTCCCAAAATATGGTCTCGCGCGCGCGTGTGTGTGTGTGTGTGTGTGTGTTCAGCCACCCGAAAGTGCAAATGCGCCGCGGGGGGAGGAGAAGAAGAAAAAGAAGAAGAAGCAGCCCCCCAAGGGCAAAACGTCCGGGGCACCGGCGGACGTCCTTTCGACGGAAGACATGTCCAAGCAGCAGGTAGCTCGCCGGCTAGCTGGAGCCGGCTAGCTGGAGCCGGCTAGCTGGTTCGCAGCTAGCCGGCTCGCCGCTAGCGCCGAAATGAAGCGATTGAGCAGCGCCTCACTGCGCTCATGCTCGCACTGATTTTTTTTTTCCCCCTCCAAAGACGACTTGCGCCCAACTCTTGACGCCGTAACACCAAAATAACTTTAAGTTTACCGTGTGATCGTATTTGGTGATCCCTCTGAACTTCCTCGTGACCCGGAAGCCTCGTCAAATGCTATCAACTCTAAACCTAGAGCGCCCCCTGTTGGCGATATGTTTCACCAACACATATCAAGACAAATCACTCGAAAGCCCACCCGAGTTGAATCGCTGACGTCGACCAAAAAAAACAGGGCGGTTCCTTCCGGTTTCAAGAGTGATCCCTTCGCACGTTCAAAAAAACGCCAAACCGCTCACCTCGTAACGCCATTTTCTTGACTCCGCATGTCTCGGGGCGCCTAGCTGGAGGAGCACGTGACCCACCTGCGCGAGGAGCTGGAGCGCGAGCGCGAGGAGAGGAGCTTCTTCCAGCTGGAGCGAGACAAGATCCGTAGCTCGTGGGAGGTGAGCCAGCGCCACCTGCGGGAGACCCGCGCGCAACTGGCCCACCGCGGCAGGGAGAAGGACGACGCCGAGCGACGCCACCGCGTCGAGATTTCGGTCGGTTTTTTTTCCTCCTTGCCATTCGCGCAAACGCAGCGCGTACCAAAAAGCGCCACTCGTACCAAAAAGGTGTACAGGCGGAAGCTGAAGGCCGTCCTGTCGGAGCAGCGGGCGGCGGCGGCGGACGAGAAGAACGACGGCGACGCGGCGGGCTGGCTGGCGCGTCGACGCCACGCCGACGCCGAGCTGCGTCTTGGAGTTTGACTAGGGGGGGGGGGGGGGGGGGGGGGGGGGGCTCGTCAATCTGCTGCTCGAGCTAGCTTGCGGCTTCAAGCTCCCGAGGCAGCCCGGCGTTGCCGCCGCGTTGCCCGGGAGTCCTTCCGCACAAGCGGGAAGTCGTCCAAAATCTGCGTAGCGGTCGGCCTGCCGCCGGCGACGCCCCCCAAAATTCCTCACCCCCCGCGGCGCAGGCGCCCGCGTGGCTTTTCGTGAAGCAGGTGCCCGTTTTCAAGTCGAGCGTGTTGTTCTCGGCAGAAGCATCAAGTGGAGCTGATGGAGCTCAGCAACGAGTACCAGAAAAGGATCTCGGGTCAGTGCCCACGTTCGGACCCGAGCTCGGCGGCGGCGGCGAGTTTTTGCCTTTCGCCGTGGGAATTGAACGCGCCGATGCGGATGGGGGGGGGAAAGCCCGTCCCGAGTTTTTGACGCGGCGGCGTTTGCGTGCAGAGGTGGAGGCCAAGTACGCCGAGAAGGCGGAGCGGATGCGGCGGGCGGAGAGCGAGAAGACGTGGGCGGCCATCTCGGCGCTGGAGGACACCGCGCGCCGCCGCCTGGAATCGCTGAGCGACGAGCGGCGGCGAAAGTTCGGGGCGGCCCGGGAATT